CACACTCAGTCCACCCCTCATGCCCAATCTGATCCAGGCTTCTCCTAAAGTCAAACAAACAAACAAGCAAACCAACCAACCAGCCAACCACCCACCCACCCAACCAAATATCTCACCCTCACCTTAATCTCACTTTGCTTTCATGTGTTTATTTTTCCTGTCATCTGCACCCTTTCTCAACTACGATAAGTAGCTTGAGGGGCCGGGGGCGGTGGCTCAGCCTGCAATCCCAGCGCTCTGGGAGGCCAAAGTGGGTGGGCTGCTTGAGATCAGGAGTTTGAGACCAGCCTGGCCAACATGGCAAAACCCTGTCTCTACTAAAAATACAAAGTTAGCCAAGCGTGGTAGCGGGTGCCTGAAATCCCAGCTACTTGGGAGGCTGAGGCAGGAGAATCGCTTGAACTCAGGAGGTGGAGTTTACGCTGAGCCGAGATGCGCCGCTGCACTCCAGCCTGGGCAACACAGTGCGACTACCTGAACAACAACAAAGCAGCTTGAGGATTTTTCAGCCGCCGACCCTTGACTTTTATTCCTACCACATGGCTTCCGCCCTTCCTGCTGTGGCCAACATTCCTTCCAGGGGACAACCGGGGCCACCTCGGCTGGTCTCTTCTTTTGGTAGGGAGTGGCTCTGAGCTGCACTGTAGCCCTAAATTTCTCTGCTGTCTGCTTTCTCGCTCTCCACCATTAACTTAGGTGTCCCTTTGACTTTCAACTAGTTTTTTCCTTCTGCATATTAATTCAGCCAAAGCAGAAATGATCAAAAAACCTAATCTCTGGTCCTAACTGCTCCCTAATTTTTTACCTTAATCATCTGCATAGACAGCCTAAGGATACCAGCTATTTACAACACGCCAACAAGCAGCTCAGGCTCCTTCCTCTGACCTTAATACACAGTGTCCCTAACACCACCATAACAACGGTTTCCAAAGGCTTAAAATTCCTTCCAGCTCTTTCCTTGGTTACCCTTCTTCATTCTGTCTCTCTCTCTCCTTTTTTTTTTTTTTTTTTTTTTGGGACAGGGTCTTGCTCTGTCACCCAGGCTGGAGTGCAGTGGTACAATCATGGCTCCCTGCAGCCTAGACCTTCTGGGCTCAGGTGGTCCTCCCACTTCAGCCTCCTGAGTAGCTGGGAATACAGTTGCATGCCACCATACCAAGCTGATTTTTAAATTGCCCAGGTTGGTAATGAACTCCTGGGCTCAAGTAATCCTCCTGCCTTGGCCTTCCAAAGTGCTGGGATTACAGGTGTGACCCACTGTGCCCAGCTACTCTTCTGCATTTTTATCTCACATTCAAGACTTTTAAAATAAAACCCAACAGACTCCTTTTATGTAAAGTATCAGGAATTTGCTTTGTCTTCCCCATGTTCTTAGCTGATGCACTGACCTGGCTCTCCTGGCTAGAGTCCTGCTTTCATCTTCCCGGCCACACCACTCCAGCCAGCCAGCCAGTGCTTAGTCACAATTTCTTTCTTTTTTTTTTGAGACAGAGTCTCACACTGTTACCTGGACTGGAGTGCAGTGGAGCGATCTTAGCTCACTGCAACCTCTGCCTCCCAGGTTGAAGCGATTCTCCTGCCTCAGCTTCCCAAGCAGCTGGGATTATAGGCACCCACTACCATGCCTGGCTATTTTTTTGTATTTTCTTTTCTTTTTTTAATAATTCACATTAATTCTTGCAGCTAAATCTTTGTATTTTTAGTAGAGATGGGGTTTCACCATGTTGGCCAGGATGGTCTTGAACGCCTGTCTTTGTGATCCACCCACCTCCACCTCCCAAAGTACTGAGATTACAGGAATGAGCCGCCTCACCTGGCCCACAATTTTTATGCTACTACCTACTAACCAGAAATCTGCAAGTGTTCTTTATCCTCATTACATTACCAAACTCCTCCACTCGGAATGAGTGCCTGGCCCTTCACTTTTCCTTCCAAGCATGCTCACTCCATTTGGGCACCCGGTGCCATCTGTCTAGCTAATCTGACCCAGCTGCTCATTTGTTCAGGGTCCTTCGCATTTAGTTCAGTTCAAATGTCTGTGATGTGACTTGTTCATATTGAGCTTTGAGAGCATTCTTCAGTCATTTCATGTCTTCTGTTCTGTTTACAACTAGACTGTAAGCTCTTTCAAGTCAAGCTTTTTTTTTTTTTTTTTTTAAATCACAATTTAAAATAAGGTAGGAATGTCAAGCTATTATTTAACCTGCAACCCAGCTACCGTGGGTTCAGGCCGTCTGAGACTTGAGGAGCAGGGGCTGGCCATGGCGTGTCCTCTGAAAAAGGCCTTCGTCATGATAGCACAGAAGACCCAGGGCTCACTGGAACCATCAAGGGTCCTCTGGCTCTTCTTAAAATCAAAGATTAGGTGACCAAATGTCAGTTTATGTACTGGTAAATATCATCTTCTTCCTTGGGGTTTTAACTAGTCAGATAAGATACAACAGAACGAACTGTCCCACAGAGTAAATGACTTTCTGGGAGTAGGTAACAGACTCTCAGAAAAGCAGTTACTCTTTTAGAATGCCATGAATGGATGTAATCTTTTGTTAAGAGGCACTACAGTACAATGAGACACTGTATTTTGTGGATATGACATGCAATTATGGACTGATGCCTTCTATTCTTCCTTAAAGTGCTGATGTAATAAAAACATGTTAGAACTGTATCAGAGACAACTTTGTAACAACATTTAAAAAAAAAACAAAATTAAAAAATCCACATTCTGGCTGGGTGCAGTGGCTCCTAGCACTTTGGGAGGCTGAGGCAGGCGGATCATCTGAGGTCAGGAGTTCGAGACCAGCCTGGGCAAAATGGTGAAACCCTGTCTCTACTGCTATACAAAAATTAGCTGGGCATGGCCAAAATGGTAAAACCTCATCTCTACTGCTATATAAAAATCACCTGGGCATGATGGCAGGCTCCTGTAATCCCAGCTACTCAGGAGGCTGAGGCAGAAGAACCACTTGAACCTGGGAGGCGGAGGATGCAGTGAGCCAAGATCGTGCCACTGCACTCCAGCCTGGCAACAGAGTGAGACTCCATCTCAAAAACAAACAAACAAACCAACAAAAAAACCAACCAACCATATTCTAACTCTAACACAGTAAAATTTTCATTTAACTCCTTAAATACATAGCTGTAATCATAGCATCATATAATTTTGTATTCTTTTTGTCACTTGATAGCCTATAATTACCCTTGCATAGTTTTGGTCTTTCTACTTATAATCAAGTCTACCAATTATTAATATTCCATCTTACAAAGTTTGTCACTGCTCATTTGCTGATTTTGGTTGTTTTTAATATTTAATCATTAGAAACAGTTGGATAATCACATATACACATAGAGCTTTTAAAAATTAATTACTTATAATTTTAAGGAATGAGATTATCAGGTAAAAGGATATAAAAATATTCAAGGCTGCTCATGTGATTTGAAAAATTGACCTTCAGAATAATTGCACACATACATAGTTTTAAATTAATTTTATAATTTTTGATCTGCCCTTTGTGACAACTAGTAACACTGTAGAGTGTCACTAATCTGGTGCTGAATCACTGCTGCAGGATCCTAATGTAGTGACTGCCATTTCAGAAGTGGCACTGCTCACTGGCTTTTATAATCAGAAAACAACAACAAAGAATGAGCTGCTTTTTAGAAACGCTGCCAGATTTTCAGAAAAAGATTTGTATATTTGTATAATACATAAAACATTGGTCAATTTCCTTTATACATTAGAACAATCTAGTTTCATAGGTATTAAGTAGCAAATATGTTCTATTTTGGTTTATCTTTTAGGTAAGAGCAAAGAAAGCAGTTACTTGCATACGATATGCAACTAAAATCAATGGTATCCTACGCAATAATAGTCAGATAACCTCAATGTTAGCTAAGTAAGTATAATTAACGTAAACTGCTATTTTAAAGAGGTATGATTTACTTTTCATTTAACTGGGTGTCTGGTGGGACATTTCCAACCTGAGGCGCGGATAAATATCTGAAGATTAAAAAAAATTAACAAATGGAATCTATTTGGAATCTATTCGATTAGAGTTTAATGCCATTAATTTTGTGGTTAAAGGTTACAAATACTGCTCAAAATTTCTAGGTCTGACTGGGTAAAGTTGCACGTTAGATTGGATATTAGCTGTTCTATTTAGCTGAGATAAAATCCGGCTTTGAATCCAAATGGTTAAAAATGGTGAAGTAAAAAAAGACTGATGACTGTCTTTTACTTTTCTAAATGCAATCATTTACATGATCGGCTTTGGTCTGTATGCCTTTCAAATGTCAAGATATTCTGAAAATAATCAAATAACCATGAGAGAATTCAAGTGGCAGGATCACTTTAACCCACACCTTATATAATACAGTCAATTTACAGGAAAGCCAATTCCATTTTCTTATCCAAGACAACAAAAACAATGATGCAGCCTTAAAATCTCTTCCTTTGAGTTAATCCCTTTACCTAACAACTACATTCTAAAACCGAGGACTTATCATTCTGGATAGGGAGTGACCTTTTGGGAAGAATCACAGAGCCTCTCCCCAGCCTGAGACCACTGTCAATTCCCTCGGCTGGGGGTCAGCTGTGTACGCAGCTTCCTTTTAAGTCATTTCAAAGGATGAACAATAAACAGAAGCCACGATCTATCACTCTGAGGCATTGGTGATCTGGCAGGGGATTTAACACCCAAATAGGGAGATGACTGTATTATGACTGTACCTAATGAAAGGCAATGGTGATAGTAATAAGCCCATTTTTTCCTTCGTAGACTGAGAAAGATCTTGAAAACTTGTCTTCTTGAATTCAGCCTTTCAAGACTCATTGGTGAATGAGAAAATGAGACAACCTGGTTCTCCGAAATTTATCTGTTGAGCATGGTTCTTACATGGATGATATCTGGCAAACAGAGATGACCATGGGACCACGTAAATGCAATGGGAAATTCCCAGGTCTCACTCAACTGTTTCATTAGTAAAAACACTGTCACAGCTAGGGGGGAAAAACACATTAAGTGATGAAATAAAAAGTATGAAAGCCTAGAATGTCAGATATTTTACACACAAAAATACTATAATAATGCTAGGCTACATCAATTATAATGGAACAAAAAGACTACAAACATTATAAATGTGTGAGCACAGCTTTTTTAGGAAATTAATTAAATATAAAGAGCTATTGATGGCGGTCATACGGCAATGAGGTCAGCACCAAAGCCAGGCACAAGAGTACCCATGGATGAATTTTCAACTGGAATAATCAAGCTTTATTTACTTCTTGTGGCCATCGTTTTAACCTTTTATTTATTGAGATGCCAAGACAGAGCAAAACGGTACACAATTAACCGGTTAAATTTATTTTTCACAAGGCCTGCTAAGAGATTTGGTTGCAATTACTCTCAAATTGCTTTAGAAGGTTTGGCAAGTGAGACAATACTAGAAAAATGAGACATTTTCAAGTCATATTGTTTTGAGAGGCAGGTCCTGAGAAGGTTCAAGTCCTATAAGAAGGGTGTGCTACGCCGAGGTTGCTTTTCTGGGCGGGTTGGGGATGCCAGACTCAAAAAGTCCCCCGATCTGTACTCTGAACCGAGATTCTGGACGTTGCTACCCAATTCTTCATATGTAAAAATAAACTGTGTGGTTGGGCATGGTGGCTCACACCTGTGACCCCAGCATTGTGGGAGGCTGAAGGGGGAGGATCATTTGAGGCCAGGAGTTTGAGACCAGCCAGGGCATCATAACGAGATCCTATCTCTACAAAAAAATCAGTAAAAAACCAAATTAGCTAGCCATGATGGCACACACCTGTAGTCCCTGCTACTCTGGAGGATTGCTTTAGCCAAGGAGACTGAGGCTGCAAGTGAGCCACGATCACACCACTGCACTACAGCCTGGGTGACCGAGCAAGACCCTGCCTCAAAAAAAAAAAAAAAAAAAAAAAAAAAAAAAAAAAAAAAAAAAAAGAAAGAAAGAAAGAAAAGAAAAAAATGAAAGAAAAAGAAAATAAAATAAAAGATATATTGTAAGCCAGGCATAGCGGCTCATGCCTGTAATCCCAGCACTTTGGGAGGCAGACAGGTGGGCAGATCATGAGGTTAGGAGTTCAAGACCAGCCTGACCAACATGGTGAAACCCCATCTCTACTAAAAATACAAAAATCAGCTGGGCATGGTGGCACATGCCTGTAATCCCAGCTACTCAGGAGGCTGAGGCAGGAGAATCACTTGAACCCGTGAGGAGGAGGTTTCAGTGAGCCGAGATCACACCATTGCACTCTAGTCTGGGCAACAGAGCGAGACTCTGTCTCAAAAAAAAAAAAATATATGTAATTATTTATGATTCCTGTTGACTCCAGCAATAAAAATGGGGGGATAGCTGCCACCTTTGGATTCCCAATCATTCAAAATAGAGTTTTCTCTTTTTTTTTTCTTTGAGGCAGAGTCTTGCTCTGCTGCCCAGGCTGAAGTGCAATGGCACAATCTCAGCTCACTGCTCACTGCACTCTCCCACCTTTCAGATTCAAGCAATTCTCCTGCCTCAGTCACCCTTGTAGCTGAGATTACAGGCATGTGCCACCATGCCTGGCTAAGTTTTGTATTTTTGGTAGAGACAAGGTTTTGCCATGTTGGCCAGGCTGGTCTCCAACTCCTGGCCTCAAGTGATCCACCCGTCTCGGTCTTCTAAAGTGCTGGGATTACAGGTGTGAGCCACCGCCCCAGCCCAAAATAGGTTTTTAAAGCCAACTTTAAGTATCTTCTAGTTCTGATTACAACTTGAAAAAATAACACTTTTAAACTCCACAACTGGAAATAATGAACCAAAAGAGTGATCTGCTACAGAAAGAACATTAAGATATTTTTATAATACTTGAAAACAAAGTATTACAGCTGGAATTCAGAGAATTGAAATTGGCATGTCAAATGATAATAGAAGATTATAAAGGTAAAAAGTAGAATAATTAAGAGAAATGGTAATTATTCCAAAGACAGGTTTATAGAAAACAACACTGGTGAACTCTGTATTTACGGATTTACTTAAAAGGAACTTCTAGCTGACATTTTTCTAACATTGCAATTGCCCTGCACCTATCTTTACACCAGTCTCCGTGAACACTGCTCAATGTAGAACAGAAAATTGAAGCCGATTAAGAACTATTTATATGATCTATGCACTTCCCCAGTTCAAGCAATTTTCCTGCCTCATCCTCCCAAGTAGCTGGGATTACAGGCACCCACCACCAGCCCTGGCTAATTTTTTGCATTTTTAGTAGAGATGGGTTTTTGCCATGTTGGCCAGGCTGGTCTCGAACACTTAACCTCAGGGTGATCCGCCTGTCTCAGCCTCCCAAAGTGCTGGGGTTATAGGCATGAGACCCTGCGCCCGGCCGAGAATAAAGTTTTAATGAAGTGACTTTAATGCATTTATGAGAAATAGGCATCACTAAAATCTAAGCCTTGAATGTGATAGTTTAGATTCAAGGCAAAGAATTTTTTAATTATTCCCATTTGTTTGCTACTTACACCTCTGGTTTAAAAAGCTACATCTGAAATTTCACATTATAATATATGATTCTAGATTTTTATAAGAGGTTTTTATGTGTTTTTTATAGTTTATGTCTACAGCTCATTCATTCATTCGTGCAATATTTATCTAGTGACCACGGTGTATGCTGAGTACTGATTTAGATGCAAAAGATAATGCAGGAAATAAAATAGATGCTTTGCCTACAGCTGACTCTCTGTCCTCCTGGAATTCACATCTACCTCATAACACTGGAAGATCAGTAGAATTGATTACCTAGTGACTTAGTTATTTGACAATCATGCTACATTTATGCAAGTTTGCATGAAATTATAAAATATCTTTCATACGGAAGACCAGGCAAGATGACAAAAACTACTGGGACAGTTCTAAATGTCATACCAGGTAACCATTAACTATTTGTAAAAATATGGTCAGTTTAAGTCTTGACTTAGAACATGAAGATGTCAAAAAAATCATTACAAGTAACTTTTTTTTTTTTTTTTTTTTTTTTGAGATCGAGTTTCACTCTTGTAGCCCAGGCTGGAGTAAAACGGTGCAATCTCATCTCACTGCAACCTCTGCCTCCCGGGTTCAAGTCATTCTCCTGGCTCAGCCTCCTGAGTAGCTGGAACTACAGGCACCACCACCACGCCTGGATAATTTTTTTGTATTTTTAGTAGAGACAGGGTTTCATCAAGTTGGCCAGGCTGGTCTCAAACTCCTGAACTCAGGTGATCTGCCCGCCTCAGCCTCCCAAAGTGCTGGGAATATAGGCATGAGCCGCCTCGCCTGGCCACGAGTAACGTTTTTACTGACTCTGGTGATTAATTAGAATCATTGAACCAGGATCACAGTTTATTTAATCATTGCGGGTTGTCTTCTATATGACTACCTCATTTTTAACTTCTGTATTAATAAAGAATTTGCACTTTCACTATTCTCAGTCATGGTATGACTCAATGTTTTAGAACTTACTTGGTATCCTCCTTGCAAAAAGTAATGCAAGTTGGAACAAAGCCCATAAAGCAACATTTACCATCTGGAACAATCAAAACAAATATTTTAACAGCAATAGGTCTGTGGAGGACAGAAAGTCCTAGTGGCTAGAACAGTGGTGATTAGAAAAGCAGTGGTTAGAACATTTTTTTAATGAAAAAAATGGGAGGGAAGATGGCCACTAAATTGTTTTTGAAACCAGCAGAGGTGACCTACCTGCTCTGGGGCTCAGGGAGAGAGAAGAGAGTGCAGATTACAAACTGGGAATGTGGAAGACAGAAAGATGATCAGTTGGAAACAAACTGAAGGAGCATGCTGGCTAGCAACACATAATGAGAGTAGCTCAGGCTTCTGACCTTGACGGTGATGGTGCCTTGTTCTCTTGCGTAATCTGTCAGTTCTCTCTCCCTCTTACAGGTGACCAGCCTGTCTGGGAAAAAAATCATGTAGCCACCAGTGCCTCTGAGCACACGGCCAAATTCCCCCAACCTCCTTTCTGATCAGCTTCTGCTTCTTTTTGTAAGACTAAGTGGGTTGGGGAAGCCCCTGGAGGCTGAGGGCTGTCATAAGCCATCTGTGTGAGGACTGCCAGGGGCTGAGGGAGCTAGGAAGGGGGAGATACAGACTGGGCTGGCCCCATGTGCTTACCATTACCATGTAAGTTCTCCAACTGTTTCATGTGGGGTCTTCCCTATCCTTCTACCTACAGTGATGGTAAGGTAACCTGAAGAAGTCTGATTTTTTAAAATTGGCACAGAGCAAAGCCCATTCACAAGCGATGTTAAAATTTGATGCTGAATTTTGACAGAGCGTGGCTCACTCCTGTAATCCCAGCACTATGGGAAGGTGAGGTGGGTGGATCACTTGAGGTCAGGAGTTTGAGACCAGCCTGGCCACCAGGGTGAAACCTTGTCTCTACTTAAAAAAAAAAAAAAAAATTAGCCAGGCATGGTGGCACATGCCTGTAGTCCCAGCAACTCGGGAGGCTGAGGCAGAACAATCATTTGAACTGAGGAGGCAGAAGTTGCAGGGAGCTGAGCCCACTGCTCTCTAGCCTGTACCCCAGAGTGAGACTTCATCTCAAAACAAGACAAAACAAAAATTGCTGACTTTTGGCTGGAGATCTTAAGGGCAAATGTAGTAGAGAAGCTATGATTAATATATAAAAGCATAATGCTGATAATGATAATTATGCCAATAACTAAACGTTGTATGGCATTGCTTAGTTTATAAGGAATCTTCCCCTACATGATCTCATTGGGTGCTCAGAGCTGTGTTGGGAAGGGCCTCTCATCAGCTCAGTCAGGTCAGATTTCACACACCTAATGCCGAGTGAAGGGAGATGTTTGGTTTTTCAATCTTCTAATTCTTTTCCATTATATCACACATAAAGTAATAAGGAAAATTAAATGCTAAGCCGTATGGTGCTGATTAGGTAAAACTGTGACTTAAAGAAAGGAGAGCTTGGCAGTGCCAGGAGAATGCAAATCCACCCAGGGGATGAGATGTGCGCTGAGCCTGAAAGACCAAGGTTGTAAACGGACGCTTTCCATCTGCAGGGAGGCCAGGAAGAAAGGCACAAAGATGGGAAGCAGACAGGCTATGTGGGAAAGGCGAAAACCGATTCCAGGCAGCATGGTTCTAGCCCAACGCAGCAAACCTGGCATGGACCAAATTCTGGCTCCTTTCCACGAAAGGAAGAAAAATGAACACAGTAATCTATTAATCAATTAGTCTTCTGTTTTCGACTTCAATTCCCAGAGCTAATTAATCACTTCATTAAGAAGGAGATTCTCTCTTGGTTTAGATTATTAATGAATATTCCTAAGTAAAACCTGGTTTGTATTTCTAAACCTTTTGCATTTCAAACTCCTGGTAGGGCTTAGGGTCAAGATGTAAAAGAGGTGGCACATATGGAGTGGAGGTTCCATCCCAGCCTCCGGCTTCCTGCCATCCACCCTGGCTCTTCTCTGGAACAGCCACCTACAGACCTGTCCTCAAGTCCACAGGCTTCTGCATCTGCCTTTGTCGTCTTAAGGCTAACGCTCATGTCCTGACTGTATTTATGCTGTGTCTGATTTTGTTTTATTGTACCAAAATGACTGACATGGGTTTCATTGCTTGATCTGATAGATGTTGGTGCATCAGACCAAC